GTGCAGCTTCGAAACCCAACCTTCTTTTCATAAGTTATGGAGGTAGCGATGGCGCCCACCTGTGTTCCTTCGTTAAATTGTGTAACCAGAAGTTTGTTAAATATTATATTATTATTATGTTCATTTTGTTGGCCTTTAGCCTTAATCAGAAGTCTTCCTATTACAGCATACTCAAGAAAATTCTATTGGTTGTCATGTTTAGTTGTTTCTTTCCAATAAACACACACTTTTCACATAACGCTGTTTTAGACCTCTCAATGCGCGTTATATTAAATTGAGGATGCCGCTGCTTTTTTTTTTTTTTTGCTTTTTTTTTACATGGCTATTCATTGGGTACACTTTTCGTTTTGTTTTAGTAAGCGTTTTACGGACGTTCGACACAATTAGATCATATAAGTTACAAGTGCCAAACATTAGAGGTGTTACATAAGAGTAACAAATATAAAATAGAAGGAGGAGAGAGAAGGAAGGTGGATGTTTGATAGTATTGTATTGATAGGAAAGAAGGACCAAACCATCCAGGGCACCCGACAACTACCCACTGTCTGCACTTTGAATAGTACCGATAGAATTAGTATGCATTGTACATTATATGGGCAGTTGGCGGGTGCTCTGGTGTGGTTTGCTTCTTCTTTCCTATCAAACATCTATCTTCCTTATCTCCCCTCCTTCTTTCCTATCAAACATCTATCTTCCTTATCTCCCCTCCTTCTTTCCTATCAAACATCTATCGTCCTTATCTCCCCTCCTTCTTTTTCATGTTTGCTACTCCCTTGATACACCTCTAATCTCCTGGCGCTCATTTGTGGAGTCGGTGGCCTAGTGGTTAGGCTCTTGGACTCGCAACCGTAAGGTCGTGGGTTCGAATCCCGTCAAGGGCCCGACGTTGTGTCCTTGGGAAAGGCACTTTACACGAATTTCCTCACTTCTCCCAGGTGGGAATGGGTACCCGGCTATAGACAGCGAAAGATCTTGTCAGTTTGTTAGTGTTTGAGGGCTTAATCGGCTGCTTGCACTGTATGCTTCCCGGGAAGCTGAGAATATTTCGGAGTATTCTATGGTCTGCTGGGGTAATAATATAGTGTAAAGCGCATAGAGCCTGTTGTTGAGCGGGGATAAGCGCTATACAAATGCTATCTATTATTATTATTATCATTATTATATGACCTGATGCAGTTGCGAGCGCCGTAAAACGTCTACCAAAACTCACTTACTATTGTACATTATATTCATAGAGGTAATTGACAACAGCAGAGCTCAGCGGATGAGGGGGAAACGGCGAGGAGGAGGAGAAAGAGATTATGACTGGTTCCATAGTAAGGCACGTCCAACTCAACACGAATGGGCCATTTGGAAGGCAAAGAAAACGAGGAGGATAAAAAAATCTACTTCGTTTTTCGTTTTTGTTTAAATAAATAGTTTTACGCCCCTTGCAACACTGTAAGGTCATCAGAAGTGCCGACGATTAGAGATGTTACAGGAGGGTTTGAAAAAACACACAAAAAAGGAGGAAAGGTAAGGACAATAGATGTTTGATAGGAAAGAAGGAGCAAATCACAACGAAGCACCCGCCAACCACCCACTCTACTTTATGTATAACGGCCGACATTAGACAAGTTCAGGTATTCATAATTTTGTGAGTTTTGGTAGAGGTTTTACGGCGCTCGCAAATGCATAAGGTCATATGAGCGCCAGAAGATTAGAAGTGTTACAAGAGAGTAACAAACATAAAAAAGAAGAAGGGGAGATAAGGACGATAGATGTTTGATAGGAAAGAAGGAGCAAACCACACCAGAGCACCCGCCAACCACCCACTTCCATAGTTTTTTTTTATGTGTTCTTTCGGTTGAGTAAAAAGAAGCACATCGACACCATAGCGCTGAGGAAAAGTCCGACACACAGACTCAAACTGAAACTACAGGGAACAGAGGGAAAAATAAAGAAGTAGGACTTAACAGTGCCACCCTCCAACCACCCGCAGTTTTTTTGTTTTTTTTAAAATAGTAAGCGTTTTACGGCATTTGCAACACAATGAAGTAATATAAGTGCCGAAGATTAGAGGTGGTACAAGAGAGTTTTTAAAAAATATTAAAAAAGGAGGAGGGATCAGAATGATAGATGATTAGATGTTTGACAGGAAAGAAGGAGCAAACCACACCAGAGCACCCGCCAACCTGTTTTAAAAACTGACAGGACATATTACCTCAAGTGGTGACGTCAGAACCATTGAGAAGACGGCACGTTGGCTTACTATAGACACTAAACGTTTTGGGGCACTTGCAACATAATTAGGTAACATAATCTACGTGCCAAAGATTAGAGGTGTAACAAGAGAGGAACGTACCAAGAAAAGGAGGAGAGTGAAGGATGATAATGATAGAGATGATGGAAAAGATTACATCAACGCACCCTTTTTAGGTTACCTGTTTTACCTGTCCTGTCCTGGGCAACAACGTCATTGCACACCGGACAGGTCCAGAAGTGCTCAGTTCCCCCCAGCACCAAAGCCCGCAAGGTATCGATACTGATTGTTCCGGTGGCTGTCTGATTATGGCGACGTCTTTCCTTTCCAGATAATCGTTCCTTTCTTCCTTCTCCCCTCTCTATCCCCATTTCCCGCATCCTAATGATTGCGTGGTGTTCTGCTGTCTCCTTTTTAGGTAAGTGTTTTATGGTGCTCGCAACCGCATAAGGTCATATGAGCGCGTGGGACACATTAAACATTTTCAGTTGGTAAAAAATTTTGAATTTTGCCTGGGTGGCGGCCGAAGCCTACTCCTATCGATTTTGGAGCACCAAGGGTTCTTTAACGTGCTATTCTTGCACACGGGACCTCAGAGAATTTTCGCTCTTATCCGAGGAAGCTAGGTGTCAGATCTTACCTACCATAAGATCAGGGGTGTGGCAAGACAGCAGTAAGAAGGAGCAAATGAGTAGCAGTGGAAAAGCAGCAGAAAGAGTCAGGAGCCCAGAGGAGGGGGGCAAAGGAGATGAGTGGGTGGGGGGGGGGGAAGAAAGAGGAGACGAAAGCAGACAACAGAACATTGATAGAGAGCAGGAAAGAAAGTGAAAGTGAAAGTGAAAGGAGAAAGAAATGTTTAAGAGAAGAAAATTTTCTGTCACTATCCGGATTCGAACCTGGGACTGGATTCGAATCTTCAGAGTACCCTCCATTAGAGCTGGGCGGAGAAGCGATTTCGGAACCGATTCCCACTATGAATGTTACGAAAGAAAAGTTCCGACTCCTTTTTATGTAAACCAACGGTTTCTAGTTACTTTGATCATTAAAATCTTTTTTTGTTTAGAATTTGTTTTTGAAAAATAAAAGTTGATGCTTTGAAGTGTTCCAAAATCAAGGCCATCCAAAATCTCGAAGATGTCCGGAGCCAACCATGTAACCATCGAATAAAATATCACATCAATAGAAAGTTAGTAATTGGGTTCGGAGTCGATTCCTACGATTCCTAGCTTGCAAGAATAGGGAACCTCGCCGCCCAGCACTACCCTCCACCCAGTATAAGTAGTGGGAGTAGGTTCAAGGTACTATATGTCATGTAGGCCCCCTGTAGAGAAGCATGAACATTTTAGAATTAAGGCAAGAGGGTGGTTGGCGGGTGCTCTGGTGTGGTTTGCTTTTTCTTTCCTATCAAACATCTATCGTTTTTGTCTCCCCTCTTTCTTTTTTGTGTTTGTTGTTATGTAGACTCTTTGTCGTTACTCTCTTGTAACACCTCTAATTTTTTATCTTCGGCACTTATATATGACCTTATTGTGTTGCTAGTGCCGTAAAACACTCACTAAAACAAATTTTTAAAAATTAAGGCAACGAAAGAAGGCCAAAATAAGAAAATATAGTTTGAGAGTACTTTTTTCCCATACGTCTTAACAACTGATATTTTTTACATTTTTTTTCACCCTCAAAAACACAAGTTTAAAAAACAATCTGCTTTAACTCAGCTTGTCATAGTTGT